GAGTTTAGAAGCTATGTCTAATAGTTACATGAAAAATTAAAGTTTCTCAATTTTTTTTATTTATTGATTAGATGGGTGGACGAGCTCACAGCCCACCTGGTGTTAAGTGGTTACTGGGGCCCATAGACATCAACAACGCAAACGCGCCACCCACCTTGAGATATAAGTTCTAAGGTCTCAGTATAGTTACAACGGCTACCCCACCCTTCAAACCGAAACGCATTACTGCTTTACGGCAGAAATAGGCGGGGTGGTGGTACCTACCCGTGCGGACTCACAAGAGGTCCTACCACCAGTAAATTGAGATAAAAACAAATTGCGGATATATTATTTATTTGTCTCGTGAGGTCTTTTCTTGAATCCGTGACAGCAACCAATAAAGAGGGTGGATTAATTATGTTTATAGTCAGTACGGCCAGGGACCTCTGCCAATAATAATAGGAGTAACATCCTTCAATTTTATTCTCAGATACGTGAACTATGAAAAACTCGGCGTGAAGACGTACGCTCTATCTGAATACGAAAGCGCTCTGAAAGATTTAAGGGCCGGCCTTGTTTCTAAAGCCATGTTCAAAATCAATTAAATAATACAAAAATCTTGTTTTATTATGTGTGTTTTAATTTTAAATATAGCCTCTAGTCCTATACTACACTACTATAGACACAGTCCTCTGCAGCTCTGCACTGATCCCGAGCTCTTCTCGTACACAAACAGACACAGATCCGACCTACATCTAGCGTCTAGTCCTATACTACACTACTATAGACACAGTCCTCTGCAGCTCTGTACTTATGCCCCCCCTCGTAGGCCCCTCAGGCCGACTCGCGGCGTTCGATGATGACGAAAAAGCAGAGCTGCTGACCGATACATTGCAAGCCCAGTGCACTCCCAGCACTCAGTTCATGGACTCTGCTCATGTAAAATTAGTAGACAGTGAGGTCGAACGCAGAGCCTCCTTAACACCTTCGGACGCGTTACCGACCGTCACCCCGATGAAAGTTAAAGAATTGATCAAAGACCTACGTCCTCGCAAGGCTCCCGGTTCAGACGGTATTTCTAACCCGTTATTAAACTTCTACCCGCACCCCTTATGGGCAGGAGTATAAACTATAATTAAAATGAAAACAAAACAAAAAATGTAAATATGAATCTCTGGCTTTGTTGTTTGTTAGAGGAACGGATATAAAAAAAAAAAAAAAAAAAAACTTCTACCCGCCCAACTCATCGTGATGTTGGCATCTATTTCCAAAGCCGCTTTTTTTTTTATTGCTTGGATGTGTGGACGATCTCACAGTGCACCTGGTGTAAAGTGGTTACTGGAGCCCATAGACATCTACAACGTAAATGCGCCACACACCTTGAGATATAGTTCTAAGGTCTCAGCATAGTCACAACGGCTGCCCCACCCTTCAAACCGAAACGCATTACTGCTTCACGGCAGAAATAGGCGGGGCGGTGGTACCTACCCGTGCGGACTCACAAGAGGTCCTACCACCAGTAATTACGCAAATTATAATTTAGCGGGTTTGATTTTTATTAACTATAACCAGGGAGACTTACACCAATAAAAGAAACAAATTATAATTAACAAGATTTTCTTTATTTGACACAAATATTAAAAGCATAAAATATTTATTTATTTATTTATTTATGTACACACAGAAAAGAAGACATAGTACAGAGTAATAGGAAAATAATGTACAAAGGCACTGCTTATTTCTTTAAGAAATCTCTTCCAGCAGACCTGCGAGAGGATTATGAGAATAATAATTAAAAGTGATGAGTGTGTGTAGAACAAATAACATATAACTAAAATAACAAATACAACATGAGAATTATAGTAATGCACATACACATAGCAAATATTGTTAAACTGGAATACAAAATATTATAAGTAACACAGTATATACGAAGAGTATAGACAACGATCATACGAGTATAGACAACGTAACAATGATCATTCAGTTGATGAGAGATAGAATTGTTTGACCTTGTATTTACAAACAGAAACAGACTTGCAAATTCGGATGTCAGCCGGCAACGAATTCCACAGTCTGACCGCGTGCACAGTAAAGGCGTGAGAATAGAAATTGGTTTTGTGGGAAGGGAATAACAAGACAGAACGTTGGTTTGATCTGCAGGGAGCATCAGGAGAACGAATGAAAGAGAATCGCTCACGTAAATATAAGGGAGAAGTGGGCTTATGTTAGCAAAATCTATGTATACATAGATTTTGCATCCTCTTAAGCTTATTTGAGAGCTCTTCAGTGGCATCCAAGTAGCAGGCATCGGCGTAATCAATTATGGGTAGAATGAGAGCTTGGACGAGAGATATTTTTGTATGCTGAGGTAAGAAGCCCTGCAGACATCTCAACGAGTGCAAGGCACCTTCCTACTAATCTCAGCAACGTGAGATCTCCACGAAAGATGTCAATCTACAATAACACCCAGGTTTTTACCTGAATCGGTTAGAGTTATTTGAGTCCCATCCAAATAAATAGTTAATTTACAATAATAGTTATAAGATTATAATACTAGTGAGAGGTTAAGATAGTTACAAATTTTAAGTTACCAAAGAAGGTGTGTCGGTAGATACACCGAACACGCGAGAAAGTTACACAATAAATGAATACAAATTAAATAAAAGAAGCAGAATATGATTCACCGGGATCACTTCTCAGCAACCGGGGTTGCTGTATGAGAGAGGCTGGGAATGGGGGTGTACTGTTACTACCGTAGTCAAGCAGCCTTCCTTTGACCGACTGGCTAGAGCTCCCCGCTTCAGGCAGAGTCCATATAGGAAAGTGCTATGGGATTCTGAAGGTGATCAGAAGGTCAAGTTTCGCACCCTAACTGGAGTACATATTTGTACCAGTTATTGGATCAGTTATTGGTTTGTCTCCTAGTCTCTAATGAATTAGTTGGCTCCAGATAAAGGGTTTCTAAATTCCAGTTCACAAATTGGCTTCCTTCTTGACTGTTCTGTACCTCGATGACAATTATTACACAGCACTATACTGACTAACGACTTCTCTCGAAAGGGCCACTCTCTCAAAAGCGTCACTGGCTCAAAAAACAAAAGGCCACTGTTTTCCAGAAGGGAAAAAGCAAAAGGTCACTGGCTTTCAGAAGGGAAAAAGCTTTGTTCTTTCTCTAACCGGCCCTTTTATACTCTCGAGCCTCGGTTCTAGAACTTTTCTATTGTTACGCCCTGCTTCATTTTCCGGGGACAGCAGTGGGGACTTTCGATTTGCACGCCTGGTGACAAGTTGAAACTACTTGTCAAAATCGAAAGGTAAAGGAGAGCCCTTACCTACCGTGGCGTCAATTAACTGGTCGATAATGACCCTGGGAAGTTCGATTTTCCCTGTTACAACTTCAATCAGCTAATTAATTAAATGACGCCATCCATCACGCCAGCAATATTTCCTTATAGCCTAATTATTTTTCGACTATTTTTTTATATTTGCCTCTCATTTCTTGCATTTTGTTACGAATACTGTTCACAACCAGCTGCCTATCAAAATCAGCCCAATTTTTTTCAGCCGCATATTTCTTAACATAGTTCAATAAAACAGTTCTTGCATGTTCATCTAGACCGGGCCTTATTGGTCCTTCGAATGCATTGGCTTTTTTTCCAGTTAGAGAACAAACGCTTAGTGCATTCTTGGTAAAAATTTCTAGTAACAACATTCGTGCAAGGATTTTGCTGTCTTGCGACATTATGTTACAATTGCTTAGTTGAATGGCGTCTATGTACACCTGTGACTGTGGTAGGAGTTCAACGAGACCACTTTTCTTTTCCCGATGCTTTAGGGTCCATCTTGAGTCATTCGGATCATACTCTGGTGGTAAAGTAAACTTGTGCGCTTTGTCTCGGATCTTATTCAGTGGATTATTATTTTTAACTTCTGAACCGTCACTGTTGTGTTTCTTCTCTTCCTTTTTTCGAGTATCATTTTGTACTTTTGATCCGGTTGCTTTATCTGGATTGTTTTCATTTATATTTATTTCCATCGTTCTATTTTCTAATTCTTCGACTACAGAATCTAGATCACTAATATCAGGACCATTACAGATTTCATTAGTTACCTCAATGAAGTCTTTTAAGATCTTACAATTTTCCATAAACGCAAGCCGCATTTTCTCTAACAGTAATTGGTTTTTTTCATACTCACTATGAAGTCGTTCCAATATTTCTTTGAAGTTATCACCAAAGACTGACCGTAGAGCCATTATAATTTGCCATTTTCTCTTTAACTCTGAACTGTTCTGTGCTGATGGTTCATTTTCTTGGTTGTTGTTAATCTTATCGCTCCCTTTAACACAATGGCTAGTTGTCGGAAGATTCTCTTTTGCAGTTTGATCTGGCAAACTAACGGTATTATTGCCTGATAAAGATATTCTGAGTGAATCTCTTGTCAAATATCTTCTGGCTTTGGGGGAAGAATCGGCAGTTTCAACTTTACTTTTCTTTTGGCCTATTTTTACTTCGGCATTAGTTAAGTCAATTTGTTTTGGTATTTCATTACTCACTGGTTCCGCATCACTGTTTAGAGTTGAAGTTGTACGGACTTTGTTTGTTTTTGAGCTCGATTGTGATTGGAGTAAACTCTTTTCCGATGTTGATGGCACATCTGGAATGCAATTTTTAACTATTAGCGACCTAATCAAAAGAAATGCTTTTAAGTGTCAACAGACCAATAGGATACCTTCGACTATTTTCGTGCTGCTCTGATCTTGATCGGATATTTTATTTAATATCTTGATATAGTTGCTTGCGTCTTTATAGGAGTCTATAAAAAAAATAGTTTTAATTACCCAAACTATGTCGAATACTCTTTTAGACTTGTATTATTGACAGGGAAGTATCACTAGTTCTGAACTAGAATAGCGATTTAGTCAATTGCAGCAAATAGTTTTTAGAAAACATAGTGGAGGTTAAACTGTTTGCCAAATCGTATCAGATATTATCGCTACCTAAAAAAAGAGGCCCTATAATGAACACATAAAACGATAATGATTACGACTTACTGGTACTGTACTTTATATCAGCCAATAAAACTTTCCAGTTTTCTAAGATTTCTTGATTCTTAGCACATCGCTTTATTTCTGATAGTTCTTCGCAAGGAAATTTAACGAGAGCTTCACTATCTGATGTTTCACATAATCTTAGCCAAGAATTCGGAACGCAAACATATTTTTCAGCATCTATGCATGGAGGTTTGTAAGGGTTTACCCCCTGCACAATTCCCACCCCGCGGAACCCCATGGTTATGAAGATATTCACGGCTAAAGTTTTTAGGTTAGAATAGCACTATTTAATCAAAATAAGGTTAAAATTTAGATTAGGTCCATCAATTTTTGAGTCGGGAGGGAGGGGAGTAAGGGCTAATCCCCTGCACCATCCCCACTCCGCGGAACTCCATGGTTATGAAGATATCCACGGTTAATGTTTTGAGGTTAGAATAGCACTATTTAGTCAACATAGGGTTAAAATTTCAATTATGGTCCATTATTTTTGAGTTGTGGAGGGAGGGGTGTAAGGGCTTACCACTGCACCATCACCAAGCCGCAGATCCCCATGGCTATAAAGATATCCATGGTTAATTTTTAGATTAAAACTGCATTATTTAGTTAAACTCCAAGGGAGATTAAGTTTGAATCCGCCTTATCTCCGGAGCTGCGGGAAGAGCAGTCCTTCCGCCCTTGCGTGCCGAAGCACGGTCACTCGTGCTCCGCTCCGCAGCTTCGGCTCAGCCGCTCCGCCTCGCACTGTTTCCGTGCTCCATCACAGCGGGCGAGGACTGCTCTTCCTCCGCGCCTCCGGTTTTTTATATACACTCTAGGGGTAGGGCAGACAAAGTGGAAAGTTGTGCAAGTGCAATTTTATTTCCAAAACACGAGCAATTTTACTGTTTTATATTTAAATCTTATCTAAAAAGTTAGTTTGTTACAGAGACAGATAAAAAGACGCTAAAAAAAATATGCGTCATTTCACGTTTCGTTCCACAGTATAAGCAAAATTTGGTTACTTTTTTTGTAAAAAAGTCAATATAATTGCTTATTACAGAAACAGTTACAATGCACATTAATTACAACAAATTTACTATGTGAATATATTAAAATAATAAAATATATTTCGGTAAAAACATGACATAAAATTTAATTACACGTGAATGGAACGTGAAACGTCAAATGTGACATCTACCATGACGATTTTTCTAATATTTACGCAAACTTTAAAAAATTATATCTCGTAAACCGTGAGTCTCCGCAACTTGAAATTTTGCAAAAAGCTTTTTATTTATGTGTACTATCTACAACTAATATTGTGAACTTCCAAATCGACGGACCCAAAAGGAAAGTTTAGCCATCCACAGACTCGGTTATCAGCATAGACCTTTATCAGATGAAAAAATTATATTCAATGCACCGCGCTCAATCATGGTTTTGAAACGTAAAAGGTTCAATTATACCGCAAACCTCGGCAGGAGAATATTTTCGTTGCTGAACTGGGAACCGGGATGACATTGCATCGACGTGATTGATGATCGATCTGCGATATAGGTCATTAAACTATATAGGTCTATGATTCAATGACTTGGGGGTTATCTGTGTTAATGCTGTCAATGACGTACATTAAGTACGTTTAGAAACTGTTTACATTAATTATTAAATTTGGAACAAAACCTTTCTTGATTATCGAAAATCACAACGATTATTTGGCTTTTATTTTATATCTTCATATCTTTTTGTAAATAATTATTTTGTTTTTAAATAACCTGTTGAATATGGATTTGGCGCAATTCTCACAGTAAAACCGCTTTTGTTCGACTTAAATTATATACAACACCAATTATTAAAATAGCTTACGTTTAGATGTCAACTTTGTGTCTGCTGTTCAATCAATTGAGTTGATTACAACAATATGGCTTATTAAAAAGCTTATTAAACACTGTTTTCACTTCTACATTTTCAATAAAATTCATAGGAAAAAATATTCGTAACGTTTACGTGGCGAGACATCTATTATTACATTTATTACGCCCGACGACATGGACGCTCAATGAATGAAATTGGATTTGGAACTCTCGAATTGTTATTATTATTAATAGATGCGCGAGTGCGAAAAAGATAGATATAGATCACACAGCTTGTGTCGGTGTTATTAGTCGCAGGACTCACAGGCAGGTCAATAATTGCGTCATCCATATAATAATATGTTATTGCTTCAGTTTTCCGTCAGGAACAATTTGTTGAACGTTACGAACGAATATACTGATGGCAAAAAAGATCTATGCTACTCATCGACATTTAACTCGTATATTTCTATCAGGCTCATCAGTAGTTTGATTTTTTTTTATCATGAATAGGGGAATATACTTAGTCTGGCCATAAATACTGTTACAATTAAAAATAAACAAAATATTACATTTGAATTTGGAATCTGTCATTTTTATATGATTGCTCATTGAGTTTTCTCATTTTGTCGCCAATACATTGTACAATATTTTGCGATATTAAAATGGAGTGGGGTGATTAAGAGAACAGAATCGCTGTGATTGCATTACACAAAGTAGGTATGGAGCCAAATGCAATTTTTAAAACTCTCCATACGCTTGGTATTAGTAAAATGTTTGTGTACCTATTAGGCTATTAGTGGCTTAGGGCTATTAACAGGTGCAATGAGACCTCCTCTGTTTGTGACAGAAAAAGATCTGGCCGTCCACGTAGTGTTCGTACGAAAAAGGTGGTCAAAGCAGTAAGGGAAAGAATTCGAAGAAATCCTGTCCGAAAGCAAAAGATTTTATCTCGGGAGATGAAGATAGCACCTAGAACCATGTCGCGTATTTTAAAAGATGATTTAGGACTTGCAGCCTATAAGGGACGTACCGGTCATTTCTTAACTAATAATTTAAAAGAGAATAGGGTGGTAAAATCGAAACAACTACTGAAGCGGTACGCTAAGGGAGGTCATAGAAATTTTTTGTTTACGGATGAGATTTTTTTTACAATTGAGCAACATTTTAACAAACAAAATGACCGTATTTATGCTCAAAGCTCTAAGGAAGCTTCCCAATTAGTCGACAGAGTGCAACGTGGGCACTATCCGACTTCGGCGATGGTTTGGTGGGGTATTAGCAATGAAGGAGTGACTGAGCTATACTTTTGTGAAAAAGGTATCAAAACATCGGCACAAGTGTATAAAGATACTATCCTTGAGAAGGTAGTGAAGCCCCTTAACAACACCATGTTCAATAATCGAGAATGGTCCTTCCAGCAAGACTCGGCGCCAGGTCATAAAGCTCGGTCTACGCAATCTTGGTTGGAAACGAACGTTTCGGACTTCATCAGAGCTGACTACAGGCCGTGGTCTAGTCCCGATCTTAATCCCCTGGATTATGATTTATGGTCAGTTTTAAAGAGTACGGCTTGCTCTAAACGCCGTGATAATTTGGAGTCTCTAAAACAATCCCTACGATTGGCAGTGAAAATTTTTCCCATAGAGAGAGTCCGTGCTTCTATTGATAACTGGCCTCAACGTTTAAAGGACTGTATTGCAGCCAATGGAGACCACTTCGATTAAGCTTTTTATACTTTAAATTGTTTTATATTTATGTATTAATCTAACACACTGTAAAAGTAATAAATGTTGTTTGCAATAGATTTTTTATATTTTTTATTGTAACAGTATTCATGGCCAGACTAAGAACTTACAGTCTTTAATTTAATGAACCAATGATGATTCAGATACAACTTAATAATATCATTACAAATATGATGAATTGATTTCTATCATTGACAGTTACGATGTAACAAGTATGCGAGTATAACAAAGCCTATTGTTATAAATACCTGAATAATGAATTCGAAGAATATCTACAAGCTTTTTGGGACAGCATCATTGATTTTATAGTTCCATTTAGCTTTGTGGTTGATGATTCTATATCTCCTCTGATACATGACTATAGTCTATCTATTATAGTCGGATACTCTTGGCAGAGCAGTTGTGGTCACGTGGAATCTTTATTTATTATAGCCTAGACAGCTGTTCTCCATAATTCGCGATCTGAGGCTTGGCACACGCACTCGCTAAGTGGGGCTTTGGTAAGGATTTTCACTTATTCAGCCCAGCGCAATATAGTCTATACACTTTTTTTTAAGCTATGATTCTTAAATGAAGTCGGTTAAAAAATGATTAATAAATACTTCAAAAGCACGGGAGGGTAGAGCAGTGCGGGAAGTCGCTATCTCACTCGCACCATCATATCGGTGACGTCACAACTTTTTTTTTTTGCTTAGATGGGTGCACGAGCTTACAGCCCACCTGGTGTTAGGTGGTTACTGGAGCCCATAGACATCTACAACGTTAATGCGCCACCCACCTTGAGATATAAGTTCTAAGATCTCAGTATAGTTACAACGGCTGCCCTACCCTTCAGACCGAAACGCATTACTGCTTCACGTCCGAAATAGCCCAGGGCGGTGGTACCTACCCGCGCGGACTCACAAGACGTCCTACCACCAGTAAACTTTCTCAGATCTAGTCGATATATAACGTATCGAAGTAGCGACAATTGTGAATGTTATCAAAAATAAATTACAGTTCCTAAAGCGAAGCGAAGTCGGGTCGCTAGTATTCTATATTGATGATCACTTTGATGGTGGAACTAAATAAATAAATGCAATCGAGACGCTCATCTCAAGCCATAACTTGGACTACGAAACTGTCGCTGCATCTATACAAAGAGGCAAAATATCCTGCTGTTACCAAGAAACAAAACATCCAATGTTTGTTCCAGTTCACAACAGCAACCTATTATCGCCCACGCGGACCTTTTCAATAGACACTCAGAAGCGAACTAAGTCCACGACACACTGACATTTAAACACACATAGTTCATTGTTATATTCAACCTTCAACGAACAAGAAATGTCTCTTTAACTAGATCGGAACAGAGACAATCTAAGCCGATCGAAAGTGGGTATGGTTTAGGTCCTTTGAATCTAAAGTGTCTTTGGCGTTTCGTTTTGTGGTCACAGAGCTGAAGGTAGAAATGTGGGTGGATCGCGTTGGAAGAGCATGGCGTATTCTTTTAAATTTCATAGCGGAAAAGGTCTTTTAAAAACACACTCCAGGTAAGGTAGTTGTAAAGTTATCGATTTTCGACCAGCCCATACCATGGGCCCCGAAGGTCGAAATATTTAGGCGTCACCCTCGACAGAAGGATGACATTCCGCCCTCATATTAAGACGGTACGCGACCGT